AGCTACCCTCTTACAACTATGCTTAAAATATTTTTTAAAATTCCTCAAGTTTACAAGAAATCAAGTTCACAAGCATACAAGTAATTCAATATTTAATAAAGTGGTAACTGTAGTCACTGTTTTTTACTCAAACAATACCACCCAGCTAAAATACATGCTTTATTTCCAATAATTTAATAAAAGAATTGGTCGACCAATTCAGGAGGTAGCATACAATCAGGAACCCATGGTACTGAGGAAGAAGTCCAAGCTGGACTGAAGGCATTGGTGAAAATCAAGGCTCCAGGAATTGACGGAATACCAATTAAGATGTTTCAACAAACAGATGTGGTGCTGGAGGTGCTCACTGTTCTATGCCATGAAATTTGGAAGCTACTTGGCCAACCAACTGGAAGAGATCTATATTTGTGCCCATTCCAAAAACAGGTGATCCAACAGAATGCGAAAATTATCGAACAGTATTATTATTACCAAACACAAGTAAAATTTTGCTGAAGATCATTCAAAAGCATTGGCAGCAGTACACAGACAGGGAACTGCCAGAAATTCAAGCCAGATTCAGAAAAGGATGTGTAACGGGGGATATCATTACTGATGTCAGATGCATCTTGTCCGAAGGCAGAGAATACCAGAAAGATGTTTACTTGTGTTTTATTGATTATGCAAAGGCATTCGACTGGGTGGATCATAACAAATTATGGGTAATATTACGAAGAATGGAAATTTCAGAACACTTAATTGTGCTCATGAGGAACCTGTACATAGACCAAGAGGCAGTCATTTGAACAGAATGAGGGGATACTGTGAGGTTTAAAATCAGGAAAGGTGTGCATTAGGGCTGTATCCTTTCACCATACTTATTCAATTTGTACATTGAGCAAATAATCTGAGAAGCCAGACTATACGAAGAAGAACATGGCATCATAATGGGAGGAAGACTCATTAATAACCTGCCATATGCAGATGACACAACCTTGTTTGCTGAAAGTAAAGAGGACTTGAAGCACTTACTGATGAAGAGCAAAACTACAGCCTTTAGTATGGATTGCACTTCAACATAAAAGAAAAATTCTCATAACTGTACCAATAAGCAGCATCACGATAAGCTGAGAAAATATTGAAGTTGTCAAGGATTTCATTTTCCTTGGGTCCACAATCAACCCATGAAAGCAGCAGTCAAGAAATCAAACAACGTATTGCTTTGGGCAAATCTGCTGCAAAAGACCTCTTTAAAGTGTTAAAAAGCAAAGATGTCACTTTGAGGACTAAGGTGTGCCTGACCCAAGCCAGGGTATTTTCAATTGCCCCATATGCATGGGAAAGCTGGACAATGGATAAGGAAGCAGAAGAGGAATTGATGTCTTTGAATTATGGTGTTGGCCAAGAATATTGAATATACTATGGGCTGCCAGAAGAATGAACAAATCTTTCTTGGGAGAAGTACAGCCAGAATGCTCCTTAGATGCAAGGATGGCGAAACTTCGTCTCACGTACTTTGGACATGTTATCAGGAGGGATCAGTCCCTGGAGAAGGACATCATGCTTGCTCATGTAGAGGGTCAGCGAAAAAGAGGAAGACCCTCAACGAGAATGATTGTGAGGATGGCGCAGGACTGGGCAGTGTTTTGTTCTGTTGAACATAGGGTCACTATGAGTTGGAACTGATTGGATGGCACCTAACAACAACAACAACAATAAAATTCCTAAAATATTAATAAATATAATTCATTCATGTAACTGTCAGTTATTGCTGCATAACAAAAAAAAACTCAAAATCTCAGTGGCAATATGTTGTTATGTCTCATTCATGAGTCTGCATGTCTGCTGGCTGTGCTTCAGGCTGCAAGTCTGCAGGTGGGCTAGGAAGGCCTACAGTATGTGCATTCATTCTGGCACCTAGATGCTGATGGGTCAGCAGCTACTCCACCTTGTAATTTTCTCATAGTGGAGGTAGAAGTTCCCTGAGAACAGGAACAAGTGGTGCCTCTGAAATAAACTGCTTGGTCTCAAATTCTTGTCAGAGGGTCTACTTCTGGGAGAAGCAGTATAGTTACATTACTGTTTGGGTAAGCTTCCCCCCTCCCCACCCCCACCCAAATCCCTCTCCTTACATTCTATGCTTTTTGTTTTCAGTTTTCTAGATCTAGGGCTAGGTTTGGAACTGATACACTGTCACCTCCTCACATTCCATTCCAAAGACAGTCACACGGCCACGCTCAACATCAGTAAGTTATGAAAGTGTTGCCAGGAGAGAGAGGGAACAATAGTCTAATTTACCAAGTCCTAAATTATGATGATTTGTCAATACAGAAGATATTGGGAAGAAAGTATTAATAACTCTAGAGGCATTTTCCAAAGAGGAGAGTCAAAAGTTATATGAGCAATAACATTGTCATTAAGTATATAACCACATAAGGGGGCCATCTTGGGTACACAAGTTTTAATTTGTTGGTTTAAAAAAGTAATTTTTATCTAATCAAACTTCATGCTTGCCTAACTGAATGTATCCAATTCTTATTTATGTTTATATGGGAAGGAAACATACCCACAGAAGCTCCTAAAAGTTATCTTAAGTCAATGTTTCCTTATTTCCTCCTCATTTAAAAAAAAAAAAAATTTAAGGGAAGTAAAATTACCAGAATCCCCATTCTAACGTTTCCGCGTCAGAGCTTGGCAGATCAGCTATTTAAAAAATAAAAAAATAACAGTTTCCATCAAGTCGATTCTGAATCATGGCAACCACGTGTGTGTCAGAGTAGAATTGTGTTCCACAGGGTTTTCGATGGCTGATTTTTCAGAAGTAGATCACCAGGCCTTTATTTCGAGGTGCTCTGGGTAGACTAGAACCACCAAGCTTTTGGCACATTAACTGTTGCACTACTGTTGTGTAGGATTTTAGGAATCTTATAAAATAAATAGATACTTAGGTTTGACATACATAAACTCATTTAGCTTATTGCAAGGCATGCAAGTAAGACCTCACAACAACATTCATTTAGAACCGGAGAATAAGAATTAACAATTAAAATTACAATGTTAGTTCCATGCTTAGAGTCCAAATCTTTAGACTTCGGGCATTTACCTTTAACGAGAGGTCTCCGGAGGAAGGCTTAACCATAGCTTGAACTCAGCGGAGGTCTCTCATAGCTAGGGTGAAGGTCAGTGGCAGCAAGCAGAATCTCAGTTACATCTCTGCTTTCTCTCAGTGAGTGAGCAGAAATTTAGGGTTTATGTGTGAATTTGTCACCGTGGTTCCACACGAGGAGGGTCAGCGTGACGTCAGAGAGTGGTATTGTTACGTCTTTTCCCCAAAGTTAGAGAGTAGTCAAATGACGTATCTTCTCTTCAAGGTTAGCGATTAGAGAGGTTGTTTAGATTTATGCTGTGTTTTCTTGCATCACAACATGGTGGCTCAAAGAGAATTTAAAAGTTGTTTATGCTCTTTACATACTTCACATGCTTCTATGTTTCTACGGCTAAGTTCAGAACATTTCTAAATAACTTTCTTATGACTTACAGGTTTCTAATGACTTATAGTTAATATTAGAGAGTCTCACGAAGGTAGACATTTTCTAAGTTCGTATTACGAATGCTTCTACATATGTAGTTTGAAAGTATAATAGTGACTTATACCTTATGGGATTTGAGATCATTATAGAAACATACAGAACAACCACCCAGTGATATATAAGGATGAAAAAGCACCACCAATTTGTCTGAGTCAGGTTTCTTGAACAGTCAGGAGCCCTGGGTTCAAGCCTGGTGCTCCCACTACCTTAGCTGCCCCTACGTTAGCCACCTGCCTGGCACTTTGCTTTACCTCTCCAGTCTTCCATTTCCTCATCCCAGTTCTCCCAGGTGCAGCCTAACCATATGACATCTACAAATCTATGACATGATGGAGGTTTTCTGGTGTCACTGTTTCCCTAATGAGAACTGCTTTGTAGTCACTGATTTCAGCTCTAGAAAGTGTCCCAGCTTATGTAAGCTGAAGGCTGAGATGAAAAACTCTCATTTATTGTTCTGGATTTTGTCTCCCACAAAGAGATTCTCTTAGGGTTCACTGGTACCATTAGTAACTAGGTGACAGAGGTGACTCTTAACTTCTCCAGATAAAAACCAAAAGGTTGCCTTTCCTTTTTGAGTGGCTCCGGTGCACCTACACACATCAGCAGTTTTTTGTTTGTTTGGCAGTGGGATAATTTCATAATAAAATGATCAATAACAAACGGTTCTGTGGAGCCACGATAATATCCTGAGAATCAGAAGGTGGATTTTGAACTAGAGGTTGAGCAGTGAGTGTCTGCTCTGCCTGGAAGGCAACAGTCAGAAGAGAAGAGGTTCAAGTACCCTAAAATCAGTTTCTAAAGGAAATGGTCTATACTTCCTGCACAGCATTTAACTAATCAATTCTTAACTCCCTATCACCTGTCAAGTTCTTCACACAGGTGATAATCTTATTTATTTATTTAGCAAATACCTATATCCACACAGAGGTGCCTAGGAAGAAAGGCCTGGCAATCTACTTCCAAAAAATTAGCCATTGAAGACCCTATGAAGCACAGTTCTACTCTGATATACATGGGGTCGCCCTGAGTAAACTTGAAGGCAACTGATTTGGTCTTTTGTTAAATCACCTCAGCCAAGGACATGCTATGAGTTTCCCTTACATTATTTCATTTTATTCTCTCAACAGCCTATGAAATAAATATGTTATCTTCCCTTTACAGGTAAGAAACCCCAGCTCTTTGCCGCTTTGTCTACCGCGGTAGCCCCAGACTTTAACTTCCAAAACATGAGAGTTCTTTTTCACCTCCTCGCCCTGGGGCAATAGGTGGACTTTTTGCCAACGCACAGGGTGAGCCTGGCGCCTAGCGGTGAGCGCAGCTCCGGGAAGAGGCCGGCTGCACGCAGGTGCCCTTTGGAGCGGGGCGGGCCCGCGGATCGCGCGGGTCTGGCCGGGCGCCTTCTGCTAGGGGCTTCGCTCTTCTGGCCTGGACATGGAGCGGCCGGCGCCCTCCGAAGTGTACATGAGCCAGACCATCCAGCCGGTGCACGCCAACCCCCGCGGCGAGCTGAGCGCTGGGCAGCTGCTCAAGTGGATCGACACCGCCGCCTGCCTGGCAGGTAGGGGGCGCGGCGGGGCCTGGAGGGCGGGATACAGGATGGAGAAGGGCTGGGATCCCGGGGGTCATGGATGTGGCGGGGGGGCTTGAATGGCGGGGTGTCCGGAATGGCAAGGGGACGGTCTGCGATGTGGGAGGCGGGCTGGGATGTGGGGGTGCAGGATGACGGGGGTCCGGGATGGTGGGAATCAGGAGCAGAAGCCTAAAGGAAGGAGGAGGAGGTTATTTACAGACAGAAGTTGTAAACCCTATGCTGCCAAGGACGGTGATGACTGAAGGTAATTCATACAGTATTGAGAATGACCTAGACCGTCAGCGGCTCTGAAACGTTTTGGTTCCAGGACCCCGTTACACCAACAAATAAGTGAGAATCCTGGTTATTTCTGTTATTTGCCGTATTTGAAAATTTAAAAGATTTTAATTCATTTTAAAAGAACAAGAAGAAACCAATTACATGTTAAAATAAATAACACAATTTTATAAAATACTTTACACAACAAAAGGAATATAGTCAGAGGAGTAGTATTGGTTTACATTTTTGCAAATCTATTTAGTGTCTAGTTTATTAGATCACTGAATTCTCGTATTTGCTTCTGCATTTAATTTATTGCTTGCCATACCCTTGTGTAGTCTCTGGAAAACTCCACTGTACTCTTTCGAGAGAGTGAAAAAGCAAATAACGCTTTAGTGTTATTATGAACCACCACCCATCTGTTAGTTTGACATACTGTGGTGATTTGCACATTGCTAGGATGCTGGAAGCTATGCCACTGGTATTTCAAATACTTGCAGGATCACCCATGGTGACAGGTTTCAGCAAAGCTTCCAGACTAAGACAGACTAGGAAGAAAGGCCTAGTGATCTTGTCCTGAAAATTAGCCAATGAAAACATTATGGATCATAACAGAATGTTGTCTGACATACTGCTGGAAGATGAGCCCTCTAGCTTGGAAGGAACTATACAATGGATTCAAACATATCAATCATCATGAAGATGTCTCAGGACCAGGCGACATTTTGTTCTGTTGTATGGAGCTGACTCTGTGGCAACTAACAACATTATTATGAAAATAGTTTTGACCTCAAGGACTCTCCCAGACTACTAAGAACCTCTCACTTAGACATACCTCGAGGGATAAGGGTTCTGCTTTTGAAAAAAACCAGGTTGTAATGTAAATGCATTACTAATTGAAAGGGTGAGTGGGACAGTATTTTTGAGAAGTGGGTCTTTTGTGCCCTTTGCTTATTTCTCCCATCTTCAGATCAGTAAGAAAAACCATTTCTGGTGCAATTCAGTCCCTCCATCCCTCACTTCTTTAAGAAAATTTTAATAACTTCAACACTCCATTTGCTTATGTCAGGCAACTGGACTTAATGTCTGTAAGGTACTCTTTGGCCAGTGTTGTACTGTGTATATTTGCTAGTGTTCAGCAGTTCTCTGAAAAACTTAAGCCCTTAAAGGGCATTTGCTATGGCTGTATCTCTAACTGCCAATGAGTAGACTGGTGAAAAAATAGGATTGATTCAGTTCAGTATCTGGAAATTATTGGGTATTTAATAGAACTCACCAGATGCTCCTTGGAAAAAAGATGTAGCAGTCTGCTTCCGTAAAGATTTACAGCCTTGGAAACCCTATGGGGCAGTTCTACTCTGTCCTATGGGGGCACTATGAGTCAAAACCGACTCATCGACAACGGGTTTGGTTTTTGGTTTAACACATTGAATTAAACTGAGCCTACCTTAAGCATTTCTAAGACGGATACTTCTATGTTTGCTTTCTTTCACTGCACTTTATAGCTGGGAAGCCCATCATCCTTCATCATCACTCACACAGAGCTCTGTTATGGTTACTTTTCTGGTAACTCAGTTCATGGTCTGTGCACGTTTGGAAGAACAGTAAATTACTTTCAACTAGTAAAACTAGAATAGCCAATTCTTTGCAGAATTAGATCTTAGAGAGGAGTGTGTTAAATACTTGCTGTCTGGAATATTTTCTCACTCTCTTTACCTGGGACTATCAGTATATATATATTGCAGTTAAAGTAATCCATTGTAGGAAGGAACATAAATTCAGAATAAGTCACTATTTATCTCTTTTCTTTTCATAGTATGGCATCAGAAGTGATGTCTCCAAAATAAGAGGGGAGTTAAAAGTTCTTAAAAAGCCAAACAATCTGGTATTTAATCAACTATTATCAAAAAATCAAATTCTGGCAGAAGCACATGTCAAAACCTTTGCCAAAAGGAATAAATTCTGGTCTTTTTATATAAAGTAAAACTAGCAATCCAAAAAGAAAATTCTGAACAAATTAAATGCAGATATGGAACATGGAAATAACTGAAGCTCCTTCCTAGTCTCTCTCCACCCTATCAAAACTCTTCTCCTCCAACATAATGTATAACATATTTGGTGTTAATTTGGTAATAATAAATAATAGACATTGATTAAATACCCACAAGCCTGGGTGGTCCAAAAGGATTGCAACTGGCTGCTAACATAAAGGGTGGCAGTTCAAGCCCACGCAGTGGCTCCACAGAAGAAAGGCCTGGTGAATGGCTTCCATAAAGATTACAGCCAAAAAAAACGCTATGGGGCAGTTCTACTCTGTAATACATGTGGTCACCATGAATTGAAATCAATCTGACAGCAGTAAGTTTGGTTTTATGTCTCTCTATCTCTCTTTATCTCTCCCTCTCATGTCCACAGAAGTTTCTCTATGATATGGGATATTATTTCAGGGTATCGCATACTGCTCAGTGCTTAGAGTGGTTACGTGATTTAAATATCTTCAGCTATTAGTTATGTGGAGTCCTGATGGCACACTGGTTAAGAGCTTGGCTGCTAACCAAAAAAAAAAAAGACTGGCAGTTCAAATCCACCAGCCGCTCCTTGGAAACCCTATGGGGCAAGTTCTACTTTGTCCTATAGGGTTGCTATGAGTCGGAATTGACTACAACAGGTTTGGTTTAGTTTGGTTTGGTTTATTGGTTATGTGGGATATTGATTATGTGGTTATGTGGAATAGTGGTTACAAATGAAGAGGAGTAACTGACAAAATATTTAAAATTGGCGCCAACATACTAAAACTGCTATTTAAATAGGTACGTTGGGTATTGGAATTGAATTTCAAATCAATTATGTAAAGTACAGCAATAACTATACAGTAGAAACATAACCTATAGAGCAAAGGACTCCTTTTTGACCCAGATCATCGTGATATATAGTCATCAAAAACCCAAACCCACTGCCGTGGAGTCATTTCCCACTCAGCGGATAGAGTAGAACTGCCCCATAGGGTTTCCAAGGCTGTAAATCTTTACAGAAGCAGACTGCCATATCTTTCTCCCACGGAGCGGCTGGTGACTTCGAACTGCCAGCCTTGCAGTTAGCAGCCGAGCCCTTTAACCACTGTGTGGTCACAGTGGTGCTATAATGAATGAGAGAACGAGTTAACACATCCATTTAAATTTTACTCCTTATCCCTTATGCTTAAATATTCAAACATAATTACTAACGAAGCATATTCTTACCTATTTTTGAAGCTGAAAAGCATGCTGGGATTTCCTGTGTTACAGCTTCAGTGGATGACATACAATTTGAGGAGACTGCTAGGTAAGTGGCATTGCTCCATCACTCCATTCTTCTGGGTCTAGTGGTTCATTTGTGACATGAATTTGTGGCACCTGAGCTTATTCACTTGGCATCAGTTATTTGATTTGTTAATAAAATAAATAAAATTTGACCCAATGTAAATCAATGAAAAATAATTATAAGGCTTATTTTTAGTAAACATTGTAGGTGTGAAATCACAGTCTTAATTTTGCTGAGAAGCAGCTCTCAACATTAGATGCTTTTTAGTATAAGGCATAGAAGGCTTTCTATAAACTAATTCTTAATGGTTCCTTCCTCTGTAAGAAGAATAATTAATGATAATAAGTATCTCCATGATGGTGAATTTCATCACTGAGTAAACACTAATTCATCTGAGCAGAGATGGTAAATTATTAAAAACATTTTATATGTGGGAGTGTGTATGTGCTTTAACATCTCTTACTATAGAAAATTTCAAGATACACAAACGTTTTAAACATACACAAAAGTAAAGGAAATAATAGTACAATGTATCTGAAAGTACCCATTACCTAGCTACAACACTCATCCACTGAAGGACATCTTGTTTCAGCAATACCCCTTCCCACTCCTCCACACCTCTGGATTCTTCCTAGGCAAATTTCAGGCCTCATCTGTAAATATTTTTTATATATTTCTAAAATATAAAGGCTCTTTAAAAAAACATAATAACATAACCACAATACCATTATCAGAAATTATCATTCTCAGTAATATAATAAATATGTTTTGTTTTGATTTTTTAAACTGGCTTCTTGAATCAGGGTTCAAATATACTGCATTTTGTCGATATGTCTCTTAAACCTCTTTTACTGTATAATTTGCCCTTCCTTCTTTTTGCTTGCAATTTATTTATTAAAGAAACCAGCTCATTTGTCCTATAGAAGTTGCCACATTTTGTATTTGTTCACTGTATTATTGTAATCTTGTTTGACATGTTTTCCTGTCCTTTGTGTTTCCTTAAACCGATAGTTACATCTACAGGATTGATCTGGTGAAGGTTTGATATTTTGACAAAAGTAGTCTATAATATAATATCTGATGCTCATTTCTTGGAACTATTATTTCATTAAGTATTTGTAAAATTATAGTATGTTAATTGTTTCCTCTCCTTTTAACTCATTATCTGGAATACTTTTATAGAGATAAACTTTCTCTCATGGATGACTTTGTTACACTGAAATAATTTTTGTCCAAGAAAGATATGCTTAATTCTTTCCTTTTATTATCATTGTAAACCATGGATTTTCACTTATTTGATTTGTTGCAGTTCACTGATGTTGTTATTGTTACCGATGGTCAAACTACGCATCTTGGCCAGTGGAGCCTCAATTTGTTTCTTAAATACTTTGACACACCCATAAGTTTAAAAAATGTTTAATAACTCCTTTGCTTTCTGGTATGCTAAGATATTTCAGGCTCATCTTTACATTTCCTTGTACAAACCTAGAGTCAGTTATTTCTTTAAGGAGTCCTGATTCTTTTCATTGAAAATGGTAAGTAGAGATCACAATCTGGGCAGGAGAGGTGCTCATTGCAATAGGGTTGGTTATTATTTCTAGGTGTTTTCAGTGAACAGAATTAGGGATTATATATTTTTAAGAGTTTATACTAATACCTGTAGTAATTTAGGATTATAGGGTTTTACTTAATTTCTTTGATTTTATGTTTGTATCTCTTTGATTCTTATTGTATGCTGACTCACTTTATTCTTAAAGATATTAATATAACTTAACCAGTTAATGGTTATGTAACCTTTATCTTACATGTGAAATGGGGATATCACACCAACCTCATTATGAGTGACATGTTGTGAGATTATGGTACAAAGCATTTAGCCAGTGCCTGACTTACAGATATCATTAAATGAAGGGTAGTCATTGTTAGTATAGTTAGACTGAAAAAAAGTACTACTTTTAATTAGTAGCAAGGATTTTTATTTTATTTTATTTTTTATAGTACTTTAGGTGAAAGTTTACAGAACAAATAGTTTCTCATTAAACAGTCAGTACATATATTGTTTTATGACATTGATTAACAACCCCACGACATGTCAATCCTCTCCCTTCTTGACCTTTTTTTTTTTTTGGTGAAAATGTACATAGCACAAGATACACCATTTCAAAAATTTCTACATTCACAGTTCAGTGACATCGATTATGTTCTTCCAGTTGTGCTGCTATTCTCACTATAGATGAAGGTTTACAGAACAAAATAGTTTCTCATTAAACAGTACACATGTTGCCCTATGACAATGGTTAACAACCCCACTACATGTCAACACTGTCCTTACTCAACCTTGGGTTC